CAAAGCCTTTGCGTTACGGCGGGCGCGAGTCACATTTTGCTAATCTTGGAACTTGGGGTTCATTACTTGTCCTAAATGTTGTTTTAGTTCTCTATGTTGTTTGTTTCTCACATATTGACCAGTGACGTACCGAGGGGGGGGGGGAGGGGAGGGGCGGGGGGGGGGGGCCCCCCTCCCGAGAATGGGTCGCGAGATTTTTGAAAGTTACTTAAATGTGTTATAAAATGTGCAAGCGACTTATTTTTACTTGTAAATAATTTGAAAAATTTTAAAAATACAAATTAGCCTTGTAAAAAATTTTTTTGGGGGCGTCGCTGTCGCCGTGCCCCCCTTTTTCTGAAATTTCGGGATAAGCCCGAGAAAATTTTGAGAAGCATCCCAAAAAAATTTTCGGAGTGCGTGGCTAATGCCATGCACCTTCATTAGAAAAAATTTTGGTCGCCTCCCCCCCCCCCCCCCGAGCCGAAATCCTGGGTACGCCACTGATACCGACCCATATCACTGCTCAAGTTTAATCTATAATTTGTATGTACATGTTCTATCTATGTTCTTCGATACTTGTCGGTAAGGCAGGGTTCATACTGAGCCGCACAAAGCGGCACAGTTCCAGCACAGCGCTCGAACTGTGCCGGAACTGTGCTGCATGCGCAGTTGGAGTATTTTAACCGTTTCTGACGGTTTTTCTTCTAGGTTTCACTCATTTCGGCCCTTATCCCTCCACCCCGCTTTTCCTTTTGACAAGTGGAACTCCGAGCGCAAAGCGGGGTTGAGGAATAAGCGCTGTTCTGCTTTGTGTGTCCGATTATGCGTGTTGTTTCGTTCGTTCATGTCTTTTCGTTTTATACTTCCATAAAAGTATTCTTTTGTTTCCGAGAGGTCGCTGCAATATTTTCGCAGGCATTTTTCTTGAAGGAGAGCAAAAATAGTGCAGACTGGAAATTCCATCAATCTGTTGGCCACTTTTGGGCTCTTAGCCCCTTTTCGTTTTCATTTCATTGTTTTTTCGTTCTTTGTTTTACCCCGCTTCCCTTTTTGTTGTGTAGCGCTTCGAACTTGAAGCGGAGTAAAGGAATGAACGCGGTTGTGCTTCATGTTTCCTCTCAGCCGCGTTCTTTTTCCATTTCGTTGCTTGGTCTTTCTTCTACCCCGCTTCAAGTTCAAAGCGCCACACAACAAAAAGGGAAGCGGGGTAAAACAAAGAACGAAAAACCAATGAAATGAAAACGAAAAGGGACTAAGAGCCCAAAAGTGGTCAACAGATTGATGGAATTTCCTGCTCTTCTGCACTATTTTTGCTCTCCTTCAAGAAAAATGCCTGCGAAAATATCGCAGTGCCTTCTGGAAACAGATGGAATACTTTTATGCAAGGAAACAAAGAGACATGAACGAGCGGAACAACACACATAATCGGACACAAAAAGCAGAACAGCGCTTTTTCCTCAACCCCGCTTTGCACTCGGAGTTCCACTCATCAAAAGGAAAAGCGGGGTGGAGGGATAAAGCCCGAAATGAGAAAAACCTAGAAGAAATACCGTCAGAAACGGCCAAAATACTCCAACTGCGCATGCAGCACAGTTCCGGCACAGTTCGAGCACAGTTCGAGCGCTGTGCTGGAACTGTGCCGCTTTGTGCGGCTCAGTATGAACCCTGCCTAAGAAAGATGGGAAACGGTTGTTTCGCACGGGCGGTCTCCAGCGCTGCCCTGATTTTGACTTGTCTTAACACGTCACGCGCGCCGCAAAGTTCTCCCCCTATGCTTTGCTTAGGCGAAAGCCGCTGTAGGGTGTTTTGCGCGCGGCGACGGTCTCGTACGGAAAGCACCGGTCGCGCGAATCGCACTATACCCAGAAAGATGTCACCTTTCCTTTTGTATTTCAATGATGAATGTTCTCGTTTTGCAAAACACCATTCTGAGTTCCTTTCAGCTATAATCTTGAAGAATGACCTAGTCATTTCCGCAACCTCAACTGATTTCAGTTAGTTACACAAGTTTCCCATTTTCAGGTGGTTTTCCCTAATGAACTGATGTTTGCGAATTGCTGATTGAGAAAATTGATGCATACACCCATCTTGCTTGTGTAAGACAAAATATGGCTGTTCATAATTCTACCTTGGCTTTCGACTGATCATGGTTATCTTGAGTTTTGGCGTTTGAGAGGATGTTTCACTTATACATTCGAATTTCCGGGCTCTGACGAAGGCTAAAAAGCCGAAACGTTAGCCGATTGAATAAAAGTTGATTACACTTTGATGGTGCGTGAACAGGCGACACGAAGCTAGCTCGTTACTCATATGTTATTTTTGCAAGTCATGGCAATCACATAGCAGAATTTGCATTTCCATTACCGTTTCAAATTGTTCGGTTAAAAAAGGACTATTGGATGCTCGGAAGTGGATTGGTTGCAAAAACCACCAAGTTTAATTTCCGTCTACGCATACTGCGATTATGATGGTTCAGTACACTTACAAATTGCCATATCGAGTTTGAAAATTCAACCACTGAGCAGTACAAACACCGTTCCTTTGGCAAAAACCACAATTCTATGTGCACTGTGTTAGTAAATCATCACATGTCCATCCACAATGGCGTTCTGGACCTGCGTTCTACATCTGCTAGTTACAATTCTTACTTTGCCACTCTATATAGTCATAATATTGGTCATTCTCAAAAAAGCAGCAGTGTCACAGTTCGACGTTCTGTTGCTATCACAGGTTAGTGTTTCATTCACTAAGCAAAACGTAAATCAGCATTCCAAATCTTGGGTACGAGTAGCCGTGGCCGGTGCCCGATATCCATGCGCTCTGGTCGAAAATATCAACCTATAGGGATTCCAGTATGAGTGTCACGGTCGACGCGGCTCCGGTCCTTTCTCGTGAGCCGCCTAGCTAGGGTCTCTCGCCACGTTTGCCCTCAGAAAAAAGGTATTTTCCCACGCTTGAGGCATGACCGCATCCTTAGGCATCAATGTCTGACGAGCTTGGGAAAATGCTACGAGATACGTCGCGACGCGTCTAGTAAGCCAAGCGAGGCGGATCACGAGGACCTGAGCCGCGCTGATAGTGACACTCAGATTGGACTCCCTTGTACAAAATCCCCACATTGACATGTTCAAACTAGAATCAAAATTGAGTAAAAGTAACGCAAAAGGGGTAGACCAAAAAATATTCTTTTGAGGAACTTCCAATACAGGTTTTTTGAAGATTGATTGTACCGATTACCCTATTTTCCGGTTTATAAGCCGCATCCACCGCAGCGAACAATGGCGCGAAAGCGCCTTTAAGGAAATGCTTTTGATCTGACAAACTGAAAACTTGGTGCATGTTTGGGGCTGCTCTTCACTACACATATGTCTTCAGATATCTCTTCACACTCTTTTCAGAGACTCACACGACTTTGCGAGTAATTAGGTTAGCAGTCTTTTCTCGATATAATAAAGTAGACGGTACTTTCTTTTATTCGCAATGATGTTACTGATGCCAAAGCTGCGCTATGGTTTGATTTCAGTGATGCTGCTGATATTTCAACCGTGCTTGCAATGCTTCTACAACAAAGAACGAAAGCAGATAGTTATTGTAAGATCACCTAATAGAACACATAGTAATTGGCTGCTTGTGCAGCTTCGCGCATCGCAACCGCCATCGCACGTTAGCCGCGATGGAAATAATTGCGGCTTATACGCCGGGAAATAGGGTAGTTATCAACAGTAACTCCCCTGTCAACTTCGGGTAGGGGACTATATGTCGCCGAAAAGGAGCGGCCCCGCGGTCACCTGCGACAATTGCGTACCCTTGCACATGCACGGAGGATTGTTCGTGCAGGAAATCCGCGCTAGGCCCTCCCACGTTCGGCGACATATAGTCCTCCACCCGTCAACTTCTACTGACCTCAGAGTACCGCAGTGACTTGATGCTTCAACTTGATTTTCTTTTTGATTCAACTATCTTGGCGGCCGGAAGGCGGCGGTTTGTGACCTAATTAAGGCCTCTCGAGCCCCCTACGAGTCTGCGTCTCTCTCGCTCGCCTGCTCTCTGATCATTACTAGCCTCATCTAGGTCACGAGGTCGCTGTGATGGAAAGCTGTCAAGAATTTCAATCTCGCGAAAACTTATAAGACTATCCGAAGTTTTCTGAGAGTCAAGAATACTACTAAATATTTATAAATGCAGCTAACTGACAAGGGAAGCTCGTTTAGTCGAAGTGGCCTTTCTGAATGAAATGTATACCATATTAGAAAGCATAAAACGCTGACTCCAAATCTGCCTTCCTTATCTGCAGAGCGTTCATAAACGAGAAGTTATGAGCGTTTTTTAAAGCCAAAAATTGAACGTGTATTTTGGATAAAATGAGTTGCTAAAATCTTAATAGCCCTCAAATGATGCAACCAAGTGTGAAACATTTTTTATTTGAGAGTTTTTTTTTTAGATAAAGTGCTCTGACGATTGTCACTGCACCATTAAAGAGCCAGAGAAAGTATTACAGCTATTTTTGTCCTACTTGCACATTCAATTTTTTGCTTCAAAAAACGCTCATAACTCCTCGTCCATAAACGCTCTGCAGATAGGGAAGACAGATTTGGAATCAGCAATTTATGTCCTTTAATATGGTATAAGTCCCATCTAAAAAGGCCACTTCGACCAAACATGCATTCCTTGTGAGTGCTCAACATGACCTCAAACAAAAATACTGCGAAACAAATGTTTTATCTAGAATCAGGGACACAAGTTTAATCAGTTATAGTTTTCATGTGTATTTTTTGAGCTTTAGACACGAAGCCCTTTCTAGGCCTTTTACCACATCCTACAGTATTGCAAGACTACACTATAGTATTCTAGAACTGAAGGATTTGAGGCTGAACAGTTATTCATTCGAATAATCAAGCGCTACTATAAAACTCAAAAGGAACATCATTGCAAAAATTCATAAATGTCTTCGATACACGAAATACTTTTCTTGTACTTTTTACATTGGTAATTTTAAGGGAGCAGCCGACATAGCAGCCATGCTTCTTTATGACTTCTTCGGCTGCCTACGCAAGTCAAAAACGGTACAAGACATTTTCTGGAACTCTCGCCTTTGGCTGGGCAATGTGATGTTCGGTGCCGGAAATTATACCACATATGTCCGTTGCATTGGCATCACATTAATTTCAGTGCATAGATATGTTACTATAGTGCAATGCAGAACGAAGTTGGAAAAGGTAAGTGCAAGTGTTTTCCTCATAATAACAACTAGTGCTGCAAAGTTACCACACATTTATGTTGTACTGGGTCAAAAAGTATGATTTCATAGCTATTGCTTGTCAACCAGGCACCAAATAATCTGGTAGATCAAAATGAGAAGTTGCCCCTCAATCCCCATTCTGAATTAGCGACGAAAGCACTCTGGATTAGGAGGAGGTTTTGCTTGATGGCAGGGTTAGATGGCTACTAAAATCAGTCTGCAGCTCGCATATTACGCTGGAGACAGTTCAGGTACCCGCGTTGCGGCTACTTGCTGGAGAGGGAATTGAACTTTGGTTGCGAATTATGGCGGCGCTTCATACCACTGCGCTTTCATACCACTGCGCCTTCATACCACCTCCTTCCCCCCCCCCCCCCTCCCCTCATTCTAGACAGTCACTAATTGACGTAAAGAGGCGCGATTTTTGCTGTTGTCATCAACCTGCCCAGTACTGTGCTAAGCAAATCTTCAATAAATACTGGTATAAGACCTGTGTAAGGAAGTTTTCCACAAAGTTGACCGAAACATCAAAAAATTTAGCATTGCTTATATCTTCATGAATTTTCGACCTTCGGCAATTTGGTTTCATATCCCCTTCGGCAGTGGCGGTCCCAAGAGTTCCGTTTGCGGGAACGCGACAAAAAATTCTTTCGAGTAAAGCTGCGTGGCATTAGCCAAAGATTTCGCGTCCTCCTAACCCCGAATTTTAGGAAAAAGGGGCCGTAGCAGGCTAATCTGAAATTTTAAAATACTTTGAAAATTATAACTTTCAAGAATTTTGCGATCCATGCTCGGGGAGTGGGGTGCGCCCCTTGTAAAGGTGAGCCATGAAAGGACGCCTTATGCGTGGTTGTTCCTGGAAATCTGCACCCTTCGTTCTCTACCTATCTTTTCAAAGGCTTTGCTTTCTGATATTTCCTTCGGGAAAGGAATTCTCCTATCATTTTCTTCGAAAGAAAAACTTCTATGTTTAACTATTTACAGCTGCTGGACAGCATTCCATCGTTTGTGCTTGTAATGCTGCAATGGTGCGTCGCACTTGTGATGGTGGCACCAATAATGAGGTCGCTGGATGTAACTTTTAACAAGAAAGATATGGAACTGGTGATACCACAACATTTGGCTGCTGTACGTTCTTGATCTACAGTTTAGTAGTTTATTTGTAATGCACGGTGCAAAGATTTTGCGGTCAAATTTGCTCGTCAACAAGCCATGCCAATTGTCGAGACGCAGACTAATTAGATCCGACAGTCCCCTCGCCGACTGGGCGGTGCCACCAACTTCAGATGAGCTGGCACTCCCCGGGTGCTCGGTGGTCCCCTCCCCAATTATGTTCCCCCATATTTGTATTTATGTTATAACGATAAAATAATCTAGTCAGAACTGTTATGTTAATGCAAAGGAAAGAAACTAAGGGTAGAGGAATCAAGTTACGAGAGTAATTAACTCGTATACTTGACATGGAGGTCCCGGGTTTTTTCTGAACGATTTTGTCGCATAACTTTCCTCAAAAAAAAACTAAGCATAGATTCTGCAGATCTTTGCTAACCCCACCACCGGCATCAGCCCTCATCTCCTACGTGAATTACGTAACCTTTTTTATATTTACCCTTCCTTTTCTCTTTTCCCTTGAGTCCAGGCGATGGGTCTGAGTGTGTTTTCTTATTTTGTCATATTTTTTAATGTCATAGTGGGTAATGAATATAATCATGTATTCTTTACCTACTTTGTGTTTGACAGTCTTTTTTGTTTCATAGCAGATAATGAATATATTACTATATTGAATATGGTATATGATATTTTTTGTCTGCTGTGATTCCTTACAGTTTTTACCGTGATACCACGTGAACAACCGTAAATATTTACTCTTTCTTCCTCTAGCCCCCCTTTCCCACCTTATCTATTTTGAATATTCTTCATATTTTCTAATTTTCATACTTTCACTTTACAACCCCTACATTTTTCTCTCCCAAAATTTATTAACTACATGCAATTTTATTCCCATTTTTACCACTTTCTCCTACAATTTTGCAGGTTATTTTCAATCATTTATTTTCATCATTTCTCATTTTCCATCATCATTTTTTACACAAACTCAGGGACTCTATCGCCAGCGCTAGCACTGTAAATATGTACAAAATTTTTGTAATTGTGTTTAATTACCATGGCCGTTTCTAATTGCCGCCAGTTCCACAGGCGATCTAGACGCCTGTGGATAGTCCGTAGGCTATGTTGCCTATGGTGATTCCATAGGCTGTGTGATAGCCCATGGGGTTACCAGAGGCCCTTTTCCCAGTCACGCCGATTCAGAGCGTCATTATCTAATCTTGAGTGGCATATAAGCACCAGGAGCTGTCCTAAGCTCAGCGGAATCCGTTTCAAGCAGTAAATACTGCCTAGTCTGCGCTTAGGTCAGCTTCGCCTAATTACTAATTTGTGAGAAGATTATACAGCTCTGGACCAAATGATTCTCGACTACTGAAGCGAGTTGGATATTTACTGATCATCTTTATCCAACTTCGTCACAGAGGTATCCATTTCTTAGCTTTCAGTGTTTCATTGTACTGTATCATAATAATTTTGAGCAATTTTGTATTTATCAGTGTACTACTTTAACCAAAAAACAAAAAAATCATTCATGTTTATGGTTGCGAAACAGATTTCCAGAAAAGGTTCCAGCCTTATCCTCGACGTTCAGAGCGTTTGAGACAAAGAATGGAATGATTCTCGCTCGAGAACAGGAAGTGTCATTAGCAATAACAAAGTTGAATCTTTTATTTACGCAGCAGCTATTGGCACGTGTAAGTTTGCCCGCAAGCCATCGCACTATAGAAAGGAAGATTTCTCTCATTAACGGCTCGGAGAAAGCTTTTAGTCTATCACTTTTTACCAACGCCCTTGTAATCAACGTTAGGGAAGTGTTCCCTCCTGAGTTGCCTCAAGTTGTTCAAAATTTGTCAAATTATTGTAGATTTACATGTCCATATCATAACTTATCATGCTCTGTAACGACAAATGTTCGGAATATAAATTCCGTTCCTTCGTCGTCTTCGAACATAATTCATTTGGCTGTTTGCTGTCAATTTATGTATTATTCCATACGTATTCCATGCTCGTAATCTCATTTTGTACAACACTGCTCATCATTTCTTTACGGATGTCATCATATTCCCGTATGTCATATTTCGTCACCAGCGCGGTCTTTATCCGCCTCCCTAAACCCTATGTCACATTTTACCACAATGCGGAATTCCCTATCGGCCTCCCCAAATGACTACGGAAGCCTCATCCGTACCCCGATTTGCTCATCATTTGAATCGTCTCATCATTCGTCCATGTTGCTTCCATTCTTCAGCTCGAGACGAGCTCATTCTTTTGAGAGGGCGTGCGAAAGCGTGCCTTCTCATCCCTTTCCCCCTGTCCTTGTGAAGAAAAATCCAGCGACTAACGCCTGAAGCAACTCTCCCTCAACCAAAGCAACAAATGGTATATGGGCAACATCAATTGTGCATATGGGCAACGTGCAAATCAATGATGATATTTCAACTGTACATATGGACAACGTTCAACTACACATATGGGCAACGTTCAATCAAATCAATCGATGACACCTCAAATGTATGGGTAACGTCAAACGAATCCGATGGTGACAACTAAATTACCATGTCAGACTTCAAAAGCTCGAGGACGAGCTTTGCCATGGAACGGACATGTCGAGACGCAGACTAATTAGATCCGACAGTCCCCTCGCCGACTGGGCGGTGCCACCAACTTCAGATGAGCTGGCACTCCCCGGGTGCTCGGTGGTCCCCTCCCCAATTATGTTCCCCCATATTTATATTTATGTTATAACGATAAAATAATCTAGTCAGAACTGTTATGTTAATGCAAAGGAAAGAAACTAAGGGTAGAGGGATCAAGTTACGAGAGTAATTAACTCGTATACTTGACACAATAATGCCATTATTTTTTGACCAGCAATAGGCGAAGTTATTTCGCCTAATGCTGGTCATTTGCGCGCGCAAAATACTCTACTGGCGTAGCTACTTGTTAATGCGCAAATTTGGCCCCAAAATTTCGGTACCGCAAGTACACATCACGAGCAAAAAAAATACTAAACTGCAGATATAACATTTCCACCATAAAATACAGAATTTCAGCTTGCCAATCTCATCTCATTCATTTCGGCTATGGTTTTATTTCTTATCTCAATTTTATGCTACATTCTTCTTCTTATTCATGTCAGCAGAGCTTCTATCAACAGGTGACCCTGAATGTTTCGGCGGCAATCTTCATCAGATAAAGACTATTGCAGAAGAATGCGCAGAAGCAGTATTAGTTGAGCGGGCGCGAACGCGGCGCGCGCGTATCTTCATAGCTGTAAACCGCGCGCCTTATGCGGTCTGCGGCCATTAAAGCCGCGTTCGCGCCCAAAAAACTGCGACTTCGTCTGCAGAAACCTATAATTCCATTTTGCAGAGTAAAACGACAAGAAACCCGACTTGCTATCCAAGTTACGGCACCAATATTTGGTCTTCTACTAGTGTTCATCTACAATATAGGACAACATTTCCTGCGACAAATAGCCTGGGTAAGTCAGTAAAATTCCAAGCCTCGAAAGATTTCTTCAAATGGAGCTTTAGGACACGTTCCTATTCAGCTGGACAGAGATGTTTCCAATAAATAACTTAGTCATGTCCTGTGCACCGGTATGGACGTACTTTTTTTTTAACACAGATCTGAGACGCAGAGTAATGGCGCTGCTAACAATAAGACGACAAAAAACAGGGGCAGGTTTGAGTTAACAGATAATTCTAGATAGAAAAAAAATAATGTTTTGGAGGTAGACTCCTTCATGTCTATGATTTGGAATTTCACATATCTTGAATGCATGAGCCCAATCAAAATCTCTATTTCATTCATACTCAACCGAAGATACATCAGCAGCTCTAAATTTGTCCAGTGATAACCGTCATTACCATGAAAACCTCGTGAAATAATGCAGTCATTTTCAGAGATGATGCAGCAACGTCAGCATTCTTCTTGGAATTGATGGCACGGCGTTGGTCTACAGATCTACAGACAGGATATTTGTTCTGCCAAAACAAGGATGTACTATTAATTGTTTACTGATAAGTTGGTGAATAAACTAGCATGTATAACCTTCCATTCAATGGGCTTGGCGGCTAGATGGCGGGGCTTTGTGGGAGACGGTGATAAGGGGCGCATTGATCGGTTTTTACTAAATGGGAGAAGCAAGAAATAAGTTTAAATTTATTTTAAACTATCGGATTGCAACTGGTTATCATTCTTTACACTTTCTGATGTACTGACAAAAATCTCGCAATCTGGAAACCTTACTTTTGCAGAGAACTGACCCAGTATGGCAATGAAGCTCAGGGAACGCGCGCCTTTCGATATACACCCGTTGTGACCTAATTAAGGCCGCTCGCGCTCGCTACGCAGTCTGCGTCTCTCCCGCGCGCGTGCTCTTTGAATTACCTAGCTTTAATAGGTCACGAAGCCCCGCCTTCTAGCCGCCAAGCCAGTTGAATCAAAGAGTAAGTCGGTCCGAAAATTCTGTTACACCATATTTGAAAAATCATAATTTATTAGTGTTGATGGTCTTGCATGGCATCAATACTACTGAAGGAAGTAAATCATTTACTTTTTTTTAAGACATCTTGTTTACTCTCTACTGATCGATTACAGTGATAAAAATGGAAAAGGAGACCACTCAACGTCCGGTGATTCTGAACATTCTTCAATATCTAAAAACCGTGCAATAAACCCCGATACAGTCAAGAACAAATTTTCTGATCTCCTTTTTTATCCTTTTTCTATCTGATCAAGCTGTCCTATAAAGAGATAAATTTCGAAAAAACAGCAAAAAAAAGAAAACTGATTTGGTTTTGATCTCCAATAGCACATGTCATTTCAAAGAGTGACTATGACTTCCAGTTTCCATACTATTGCTTGGAAAGTCCTCGATACGCTAGCTGAATTAAATTAGGATTTCTTTATTATTCACAAATGATATTCACACGGCTGTACTATTGAAAGTAAAAAAAAAGCTCATGATACAAGAACATACATTACAAGAAAGCAACAATGACATGATCTGTTATATGCAACGAAGGGGAAAAGAGTTTTGCAGGAAATAAGAGACACTATGTATTGGCACCAGAAAACAACTGAGTCGATACGAAGCATCAAATGCAATTGAGGTAGAAAAAGGAAAGATTTTCATAATTTGGACGATGGAAGACTACTCCGATAGCATTGTCAGCTCTTCGAGATTGAGTCTGTCAGAAACATCTTCTGTATTTTGGATTCGGTATGAGATCAAATGAAAAATATATGAATGTAAATGGAAATAAAATCTAAAAAAGATAAACAGACATATTCGCAATCTAAAAGTTGTCTCAGTGTGCTTGCAACAATGAAAAGGGATAACACATTGAACTTCACGTAAGTCTTCCAATCAGAACATAAGAGAAATTTCTAGTGATAGCTTCGCAATAAATAAAGTGATACTCTTTTATTGGCTTCCTTCCATTCCATCGCTGGATCTCGCCCTAATTTCCGCGATCTCCGCGCGCATTTGGTTTCTTATTGCTTCTAAGCTTCTGAAATATATGATAACTAAAAGTGCGCACCACCGCACTTGTTGCAAAAATATAGAATAAGGAAAATTTGAGAATCTGCCGGCTTTAAGGCAGATAAGCATTTCCATTTGCCGACACCTGCGCAACAAAAGAGGTGTAAAAAATCAAGACATAGAGGTTGAGCCTTAAATTTATAAAACCCACATGATCAAGCTCTCCTTACCAGCCAGATGTCTGGAAGCGACTACTTGACGCAAATTTTGGGCAGTTTTCAGAAGCGCCCTACGAAGTGATGCATTGGAATCCATTGTTCTGGAATCGAAATAAATTGCATTTATGCACGTTTAGTTTTGAAAGGGGAAAAAAGTCTATTAACATCAAGGAAACTGTACAAACCTCCTGTCAGCGGACTTTTCGTGAAGACGGTGACCCAGATCACGCGCATTTTGGATAACTTCAGGTGGAAATGTTGAGAGTTCAACCAGTTCAAATCCTATGCATTTCTCGAAAAATCAATGCATAACCTCTTTGGCTGGTTAAATAGCAGCGAAAAATAACAACTCTGTTAATTCTGTTACATAGAGCTTCAAAGAGCAGCTAATATTCCTACAATCCAACAAAGTTTTCAGACTGACCGTATAATGGACCATTATAAGGACCCTTCCGAATTTTGTGAATCGGACGCAACTGCTCCTGTCCATCGACATATGTGACTTGAGGAGGAAAGTGGAAACTGAAGCGATTTTATTACCCAGGTAGCTAAGCGCTATGAATGACAACCAACTTCTCCACTTGTGAATATTTGGTATCCATACAAGCGAGATCGAGAAAATGTGTAGCGAAAATAGTGAACGCCTGAACATACTTCAATTTTACAAAGCAAGGATGTCAGCTTCTAGGACCGACATTCAATTTGAATTATAAGTTTTGAAGCCAATTTTAAACATAATGCAGTGGCACAATTTTCAAAAAACTTACCCCGAGGGTTATAAGCTTCTCAATGATTGCATAAGATATGCTGATGCCTTCCTCTATTGACGTACCTAAATATAATTTTGTTGACAGCCCCCGAAATTTCATTTTCAAAAATTTGGCCACCACATGGACTTATGAGCGAAATTCCATTCAAATTGCGATATGGATCAAATTCGTTCGTTGCGCTACTGTTTTTTCGGGCCTCTGCACGCTGCGGGCAAAGAAGGGAAAAGCCAGTAAACTGAACTTACTTCTGGCTAACTCGTCAATCACTAGCAATGTACGATTGTTTGAGTACTGCAATATCAGAGCAATCTCCTCCATTTCTAAGGCAAAAGCAGAACGATTCTTGAGCAAATTATCGTTGTGACCAACTCTTGAGAATATGCGGAGAAATACTGAAAAAGAGAGCGTGCAAACTCAATAATACAGGCGACACTAAAGATATACCAAAAAGCCGTTAAACTATTTGAAGACATAGCAAAAAAAACACCAGCTTACCTGGAAGAACTGCAACTTTTGCAGGCACGAATGAGCCGCATTGAGCTAGTATGCATAGCTGGGACACTTGCTTGAGGTAAGTGGTTTTACCGGTCTTCAGAAATTGATTTTCAGTTTAAGTTTTCTCAACAATTTTGGAGAAAAGACCTTACCATGTTTGGTCCGGTTATAATGATGACTCTCGAATCTGGAGAGAGATACTGAAGAATTGGAAATATTTTGATTGTGAGATCCCCAAAGAGTAGAAAAACTACCGCATCATTGGGAACAACTTGGTCACCCATCGAGTAATCCAATAATGGATGTCTGCTTCCGCTGAGAATGATGCTCTCTCCAAACTTCGGTCGAACTGAATGAAATTCTTGAAAACCCATTTGATAAAGTCTTTGAAACCAAGGTGAGGAACATTCCCGATGCGCGGATTGGACCTAGACACAAACTTCTGCACGTCCTTTGATTATAGCCCTCTTCACCTTCTCCCATTGCTCGCAGCTGTGACTTTCTTGAGAAAACAAACTACAACTATGCCCAATCCACGCGTCAGTACCATCTATACCTGATTCTCTATTGAAAGCATAAACAGCGAGGCTGCAAAGGAAATCTGTAGTTGCAAGGCAGTCCATAGCATGATAAAGAACGGCAATGGAAGGTCGGATCTGAATACTCCAGCTAGGCACTGATGAAGTAAAAATCAAACACTTCTTTGATTACAACGAAAACTAACAGAAAAAAGAGATGCATATCATGCATGTGAGAAGTGTTACAGGGACTTTCAGTCTGAGTGTCACAGTCGAAGTGGTTCAACTTTCTCGCCAGCCGCCTCGCTTGAGTCTCTCGCGTGGTACAATACCGCATCCGCTAAGCCTTCGCGGTATCGAGTGCGGTAGTGTGCCACGTGAGAGATCCAAGCGAGGCGGCTCTCTAGGGGGTGAACCACGTCGATCGTGACACTCAGATTGAAAGCCTCGGTACAAATAAAAACCCCTCGCATTCTTACCCACACTGGCTTTGTATCTAGTGTCGTCAACCTAGATTTATAGATTTGCTGCTTGGTACATCCTTTCCGCTGGTTTCATGGCAAGGAGCGCGCGAGATAGTATAAACTGGGCTTCTTTAGGGTCTTCAAATTTGAATTTGAGCATAAGCATAAAAAACCGACCGAGGTTCGGACGCGAAGACGTTGACCCTCTGCTCATGGTGAGATTAATGGCTGCTTACAAGGATAGGATGTTCATTGTCAGTAGAAGTGGCCTATCAAAATGGGATATAAACGATTTTGAAAGGGATAAAACGCCAATTCCTATTTGTCTTCCCTACCCTGCGCGAGGAGTTGCGAGCGTTTGTTTGAGCAAAACAGTGAATGCTCAATTAAAAAATCAGTTGCTAAAATTTTCCTTGCGCTTAAATGTGGCAGCAGAATGTGGATATACTTTACCTGAGGGTGCTCATAACTCTTGTACAGGAATATTCGGCAGATAAGGAAGACAAATTGAAATCAGCTCTTAGCCCCAAGCCGGTACCCGTTTGGCCGCTGCTCTGCAGCCGTTCTGGTCGCTACACTGTGACCCTACCACTGGTCGTCTGGTCGTTACACTCAAGCCATTTGTCGCTACACTCTAGCAGTCTGGTCGCTACACTGTAGCCATTTGATCGCTACATTGTAGCCATTTGATTGCCACATTGTAGGCATCTTGCTACACTCAAGCCATTTTGCAATGAACTTTAACATTTGTCTTGTAGCGACGAATCGCGACGATAAATCGCGTGAACTCTGTCCGAGGCCTTATAGCCATTTTTTGCCGTTTTCGCGCTCTCCAGTGTGGATTTTCGAGTTCAGCATAGCGAATGGGCCCAGGTAAGCAAAAAATCTCAAAATCGACTTCTTGCGCGGACACTGCTTTCAAGTGGTGCAAATAGCTGCAAAAACATTTGCCTTCCCATTTTTGACTTGTCTCTGATTCTAACAAACCGCAGAATAAAATTACAAATAGTACCTCTTTAATAACTTCCTCAACGACGATATTTGTAGCAATCATGACCTCGGAGATTGACTGCTCCAATCTATCTAGAACAGGCTGGCTATCTGATTTCAGGCCTTTTCAAATATGCATCAGGGAAAATCTCATAGAAAATAATTGGAAAACATTTCCGCATCAAGCTGATCTAGAACTAGAGAAGAATGGCAAAAGCCTTGCGTTCTAAAGCGTAGAGAAGAAGAGAAAGTAGTACAGGTTTTGAGACAACTTACCTACAACTTACCTTACTTACCTTACCTACAACTTATCTTACTTACTTACAACTTACCTTACTTACCTACAACTTACTTATAATTTTACTTTCGCCATCCTTGCTTACTGAAGAGTTCCGAGATGGCATAGAAACAACACAATACTCCGTCTACGGATAGGAACGAAACCGAGTTCTTTAGTTATAGTGTCATAATTATAAACATTATCTATTGTTATTATTATTATTGTTACCATTGTAACGCAGTAAATTCCTCGACGTAAACGTTACAGAAGAGCGATTCCGCATAACATTGATGAACACCTGAGAAACAGTGTTCGCAAACTCCATATATGGACTTTCGAGCAATTACGTACCGATGGTATTTCAACTGTTCCTGCATCACTGCATACCCATACATAATGGAATCCTCGTGCCTTCGAGAAAGCCAAGCGAGTGTCTTGTCCAGGAAGATGTGTGGTCAGTTCACTTTCTGGAGTGCAACAGCTGGATTTGAAGTCTAATGAATATTGGGGCAAACAAGTAAGCAAGTGAACAAAACGAAGAAAGCAAAAAGTGCAGTCAAAAATTCTGCTAAAAGCTCCTTAGCTCACCTTGTTTCTGGACGTCTCTAACCAATTCTTCATAAGCTCTTCTGGCGACATCTAGATTGACAGACACTCCTTCCTAGGCAAATTACTCACCATCAACTGAATCCCCGAGAAAGAGAGGGAAAACCAGGCCAGAAAACCTTTATAGCGTAGCACTTCCTATGCTGTTGAATCAGTGAATTCTTTTTGGTGCCTCCGATATTTTCGGAGCTGAATCTATCATCCAATAGCTTTCTGATGACATCAATTCGTTTGTCGCTGAGCAGCTGAAGGTACTTCTAAGAAACAGGAAGTTCTCGTAAAACTCAAGTTTTACCTCGCTTCCTTTACTTAAGAGTTCACACTTGAAATTTTTTATAATTTGTCGCAATGGATCAACGACATTCAGGACGTTTTTCAAACGCAAAAGCTGCAATCAAGCAAACAAACATATTTGTCAGCAATAAATAACAGCAAACCTGCGTTAGATTGAAATTGGCGGTTTGAACGGTAGTCTCTGTCGGAGATTCAATGAAGACATCGAAAACATGGTCAAGATCATAAGATGAGCTGAGCACTTGGCGTAGTTTTTCGATCACCTATAAGTTTGCTATTTTGTCCTCAAAGAGTATGGCATCAAGATGCGCATCCCATTATAACTCTCCGGAATTGATCGTAGATCAATTTACTAAGATTATTTGCGAAGAGGTCCAAAGCGTCAGATCTACCTTAGCCTCGGGCATAGTTCACGCGATATCTCCGCCTTGCGATTCTCCCGACAAGACAACTGTCACGAGTCATGATCCACTGCATGTCGATCCCTTTGCATGTCGGTTGTGATAGTTAGTCACGATCGGTCGTGATGGAAAACTACCACAACAGAAATGCAGGAGGACCGGCATACAATGAACTCGTAACAGTCGTCTGGTCAAAAAACCGCGAGGCTATGAAACCGCGTGAACTATGCTCAAAGGCAGCGTCCCACCAGAGGGGTATATGGCTCTGGTATTAATGTAATAGTAGACCCCCTATCGAAGCGATGACAGAAGTTTGCAGCGCCAAAGGGGGTCTACGAAGTCTACAAATCCCCCCCCCCCCCCCCCCCAAGTGGCCCGAATCTTACACCGAACGCCACCCACAATCAGTTTTGAACTGCAGGGTGGAGGACTATATGTCGCCGAATTTGGAAGAGTCCCGCGCGGATTCCCTGCAGGAACGCTTGTCCGCGCATGTACAAGGGTGCGTATTTGTCGCAAATGACCCCGGGGACCGCCCTTTTTCGGCGACATATAGTCCTCTACCCCGAACTGCATGGCCAGTGCACGCATAGCGCACACAGTCATGAGTGCAAGGTCCCCACAACGATTCTGCGTCTCTACTTTGCATGCATCTCGTACTCGCCCGAGCCTACCGTAAGATTCGGGCCACTTGGAAGGCGATTTGTAGGCTTCGTAGACTCCCTTTTGCGCTACAAACTTCTGTCGTCGCTTAGTTAAGGGTCTACTATTACATTAATACCAGGGCCAAGTACCCTCAATCTGGTGGGACGCTGCCTTCAAGGCCTTAGGGAATAGCCATGTCAAACAAGATGGGTAGAAATGAATGCTGTATGGCCTGCATACTTGAATATGCCCAGCAAAGTTCAACCATATGCGAGTCTTTTTCCCTCATTCGCGAACATGCTCTCTGAGCATTTTCCCAAGCTCAGGTGTGGGAAGATGACCAAACAGCACGTTCGCAAAAGAGGTGCAGAGTTCGGCTGCACGTTAGGAGGTACGCCGCGCGCGGCGGTCGCTCTTTCGCACACGCCGCGTTCAAATCTTGAGGCCTCCATCCAAAACTCTCCCCCATTAGAGGTTCCCGGCGACAAAAACAGGGGGTGAGGATGGTGGCAGATACACGACTTAATGCTATAAGTAAGATTGCGCCAGGAGCGCCGCTGTCGTAAGGGTTGGAGTATGTTGCGGCTTCGCTTCGCGAAAAATTCGCGCCGATCGTGCCTCCTGACCCCCCAGAGTTCAAGCGAGGCGGTCATGCGAGATCAGAGTCGCTCGAGTCGGTCCAACTCCGAATGGGACAGAGGATAGCAGAAAATTTCTAGCAGGTGATGTTTTATGCTCGGTAAAGCAGAACTTGTTGTAACACTTTGTATCTAGATAGTGTTAGTAACACAGAATATACACTGCATACGTGTGGGTTCTCCAATAATTCTTCTACTGCATCCAGCCGCTGCTCTATAATTTCTCGATCTGCCGATGGTTGCAGCAGGTTGGAACGAAGCAATCGTGCACCGCCCGAAGTTAGAGTCTCATCAATGACTGCCAATAGCGATCGACGTTCCTAGGAAAGGAAGATAATTACCTTTCAAACTTTAGAGAACTTACCTTTCTTGGAAAAGAGTTCACAATTTCGAGATTTTGCCAGGATCCCACATCTGCAGACGAATATGGATTTTACGCGGAGAGAGTTTTGTGACTCACCCAGCATGCAAAGTTTTTCAATATCCCGGTAGACAAAACGCAGTGTGTTGGCAGCAAAAACAATATTCTGAATATGTTCTACATATCTGACAAGAGCACAAACTGCTTGCGTACAAAATTGTCTGAAATACTGAACTACATCAACATACATTCATAGATGGAAATTATCTTACTTCTGCAAAACTACACCATCGCAATTCGATATTTCAGCATTCGCAAGCTGAGATATCAATTCAGCGCCACGCATCTGGTTGAAAAACCTTAAGCACTGTTGTTTCATGATATCTAGGCGAGAAGCATTCTAATTTACAAAAAAAAACATAATTCCCATACCTTCGGTGCACATTGGTTACGGTGACACTTGATAACGAGGAGTGGATCATCTCGAGCATCAATGCGTTAGCCGATTTGTCGTTGAAGCTCTCAGCTATGATAATCTGAATGGTATAGTACGATGTAAATTTAGCGGGCGTCTGCCATTTCAATCGTTGAGTGATCCAGTGATTATTAAGTTAACTGGTTGACATGAATGCTAAACAGGAAACACGCAAAGAGTCTGAAAATGTCGATTTTGTTCCCGTCCAATGATGATAAGGATCACCGCAGCATTTTGATGTGCAATTTTTGCAAAAGCATAATCGCATTTAGTTTGTCCTCATCCGGCAGCTATCTACTTGAGTGATCGCACTACCTGATCTCGGACGAAGGAGACTGCCATTGAGATTGAGTCGGCATGCGATCTGGCAGATTGCCAGATCTCTTCAAGTCCAACACTACATGTGCAGAATGTGTAACTTTCGTGATGACAAACTGATCTTTCTTCTATACACTGAATGCGCTTACAATGACTTATATACAGCTGAAGTTCCAAAATCGCGTTGCGGCTGATACAGCGTGAGGTATGCTTGGGGCCACAGGGTTGCTTCATACTGCCGTCGCCGCAGTAACGATAGTCGAATGCGATTGCAGTATGGAACCACTCATACTGTGTGCGTCGCATGTGCTCAGCGATAATACATGAGCGCAACATCCGATCCGGCTTCGCGAAGATGAACCATCCGCCTTCGTCCGGAACTAACCTCCAGTGGCCGTATTCATCAACGAACCCAGTGGGTTCCGGAACCCACTGGGTTCGTTGGGGAAAAGTAAACAAGAAAAAGTGCAAAAATCAATGCATCGATAGAGGTGCCATATTTCACTTCCAACGACTTGCTGATGCTTTGAAAAATACACAAAAGCGAAAAAAGCGTCACTTTTGGCAGAAGCTTCGATAATGTTGAAGTCTCACCTCTACGGGCTCAGCGATCAGCAACTTCATTTTCAATCGCGAATATGTCGAGGAGTCGATAAATTCGTTAATTTCAATGTCAGCTTGCCGAAGATCCATGATGGCTAATCCAATATGACCCTTCGTGCTCCCACGACCTTCAATTACCGCTGAAAACGCTAGTTTACCCCTCCGATATCGTTGCAGATAGCGTATACAAAAGCTGTGCAAGATTTAACTCACCAACAATCGCAAACTTCTTGTCTGCTGTAGTATTCTTTGAAGAAGGAGTATAATGAGTGTGAGACGAGTTTGTTGTATGAAAGCGGTATTTTGCTTGGTTCCTTTTACTGAACGTAGAGGAAAGATCCACTACATTGGAAGAGGACAGAGATGTTTGTGAGGTGGAAGACATCCTGGAAGTCTTATTGGGTGAGAGTCGTGCGTGATAGATTAAAGGCAGTATCCGGGCAAAATTTCAAAAAGAACTTTTCGCTTACCTGGGCTTATCCTTCCCGCTGATTGTCAAAACGAGGGTCGCAGCGTACGAAAATGTGGAAAACGCGCTACTCCAAAAGCCTTAATTTGGACGCCTGCCGCCGAACTTGGGCTCCCGCCAGAGTGCCGAAGTTATGCCAGCGCTACGCCAGCATTTCAATCGATACACGTGTATTTCGTTGGGGCGGGGCTAGCTCAGCAGGTAGATGTCCCCAACGAGATACACGTGTATCGATCGAAATGCTGGCGTAGCGCTGGCATAACTTCGGCACTCTGGCGGGAGCCTTGGGAGTCGTGGTACATATAATACCCTACGTTTTGACTGTGTTATGCGCAATCTTAGCTTATCGATTTATCATTCGGTAGGCGGGGTCCTCTGATCGTGGCGTTACTCGCCCAACTTCCGAAGCATTTCTCTTCCCTCCGGCCACGAGATGTGCCTGCGATTGGGTTGCGGGGTTGTCAGAGCGGCTACTTTTGCGCAACAGTAGAATCTCCCAGAACCCCCAACCAAGTCCGGACACTGCTTTTAAGGATTTAAGGCAGCATTAGGCCCCGGACAGACTTCACGCGATTGGTCGCGACTCAATCGCCGACATTTCCATTCATTTCATTTCATATTCAAAAATTTCGGGCTGGAAAAGTATCAAGAATGGAAAAGTACCGGGGCCTTAGGGGGTGCGTCGAACTTTACATGTACAGATTACCATGCACGGTCGTTGGAGGGCCAAAGTAGATGTTACACTTAGTGTTATTGCTATTACCTTTTTACCAATCGGGCTTAGCCTCATTTGAAGAAAAATAACATTAGTTATGCCAAAACAGATGTCGTGATTCTCACGATGTAAGGAAGGCGGGCCCCGCTGACGGTATAAAAGGAAGAAAAGCGGACGAGGGAGAAACTCGTGAGATATCCAATGCTTTCAATGAACTTTTACACTTGGTCAATAAACTTCAATCAATAAATGTTAGAACCCGGTTGTTGTTGGCCAAGACATGGTGCATCGGCAGGGTTCATAAACAAATCAATTCGAAAACAAACGCGCGAAGAATTGTCAAGTACTTCTTCTCTTCTCTTATTGTTCTCTCTTCTTTCCTTTTTTCTTTCTTATTGCGACCGAAATGTTGTGAAGCCTGATCACCTTCACCGCAGATAATCTTTTACCCGTATTCTACTTCCCTCTATCGCGCTACAAAGCTAAAATCATCAAATCAAGGCGCCTCCATCAAAAACAAACCAAAAAGGCAAATAATTGTCTAGGGCAGGCAACCTGAAATAACTGCCTAGGGAAGACAACCCGAAATAATTGTCTAGGGCAGGCAACCTAAAATAACTGCCTAGGGAAGACAACCCGAAATAATTGTCTAGGGCAGGCAACCTGAAATAACTGCCATGTAGGATATCCGCAACTTTCACTGGTGTTGAATTTATTCCCATAACAAGTTTTACAAATTGTAGGAGAACTCTATTTGTATCTGGTCTTTAGCAAAAGCAAACCAAGACGCCAACGACGCGTTGAGGTATGCATTAGTCATCAAGTTCTCAAAACAAAGCGAATTTTAAAGCATTCTCAAAACAAAGCGGATTTTAAAGCAAAAGAATGAGATAACGACACAAAATGTTTATTGGATCGGCATGAGAAACAAAACAAATGCGCGCTATCAACCTCCGCTATCTAACCAAACACAACACTACATATATAAAGGGATGAACACATCCTCTTGCGCATTTGAGATATCTTCTTCCTCTATCGTACCTGAAAATGACTTCTGAGTTCAACATAAAATCTTGCAAGCAACGTTTGACCAGGCAACTCAATGAGCTTGCCAACATGATCGATGAAGCAAATACTTTCAAAGAACCTTGGCAATACCCAACCAATGCTGACGACATACTTCAATTCATACTAGCAAACACAACAATATTGAGAAACCTAATAAATCAGATGAAAACAAAGGAAGACCAAATCATGGCTGAATATAGCAATCAAGCTCGTGCCCTGGAAGCCTTCAAGTCAATTAACACAGAATATGGAGAGAATTGAAAAAGAGTTCGATTCTTATTGGGAAAACAAAAGGGCAGACGAAAGCTTGGACATCAGTGTCTCAACTCTTCGAAAACTGGAGACCAGAATCGTGGAATTAGAGTGCCAACAGCAGGCACTAGAGGCTTCATCAATGCGAAAACAGAATTCAAAACCATCAATACAAGAAACAAGTCAGCGTTGTACTTCACTTTTCCAAGCTATAGAAAATCATCAGCAAAAGGGAGTCGATCAGACACCTTCACAAAGCAATCAAACAACTGCTGGTATAACGACCAACCGGGAAGACCGACCAACTTACTCCCATTCTTGGCGTTATCTCTATGGCCATGAATTACGAGTACCCGATTTCTATGGTAAACCAGCAGAATTCGAGTCGTTTTGGGAGCTATTTCAAGAATTGGTACACAATCAACCATACTCTGATTTGGAAAAATTATCCATACTACTAGCATGCTGTAAAGGCGACGCTGAACGAACGCTAAAAATGATACCGCGCAGCGCCAAATCCTACCAGTTAGCAATCCAACAGCTAAAAGCTCAATATCAAGACGAACGTCGCAATAAAACAATGCTTTTGCGAAAATTGCAATCACTACCAAGAGCGGGCGATAACCCACGTCAACTTCAAAATACCTATAACGATATCTTGACATTGGTCGCTGAGATGCGCAGACAAGGAGAAGCTGTAGACAGCACTAATCTACTGCAAACGGTTACAAGCAAATTCCCCAAAACCGTATAGGAAGAAGCAGCAAAACGTGAGTACGATTCAAACAGAATATGGACGATGGCAGAATTGCTAGATAACCTAGATGTCATTGTAAAACGAAGAGTGCATATCAGTTTCATACAAGGACGAGATGCGGAATCAAGTGAATCATCAACTTTTCATATTCAAACAAGGCCACCGTCAATAAACTGTACAGGTTGTGGCGGATCACATAGATTTATAGACTGTACTAGATACAAAACACGCAACGAAAAACTAAACAGATTATGGCAGTTAAATGCTTGTTTGATCTGCTTCAGCAAGCGTCATCAAGCTCACCTTTGCCACAGGCCAAAATGTCAGTACTGCAACGGTAACCATCATCCATTACTATGTTACAAAAATGACACTTCTGGCAACTGGCGGGAGAAAACCACGCAGAGACTGAAATCCCCAACAAGAACCTCCTTTAGAAGACAACAAGAAGATAGTCTAGCTCAAAAAAATCAGTTTACTCCAAGAACTTCAAAAACACCGATATTCAGACAAAGCAAATCTCCTAGAAGACATTTTGCACGCCCGTTCCGAAATTATCGCGACAATTACCAGGTAAGATCACGAAGTGCATCTCCAGCACGACCAGAAATGAAAGACATATTACCGACTACCTACAGAGACAGAAGCAGAAGCTCTAGTAGATCTTCCCATAATTCACTGACTCGCAATTCACCGCAAAGAAGGGTTACATTCATCAATTACGCGGGCGTCACTGAAGACGCTGCAATACAAAGGTTCGGAGCTGAGGAAGACCCTTCAGTAGATATCAATTCAAAAGACAACTCCGGCGCATTCGTACAAGACAAAATTTCATCAACTCCAGCTTTGAGAGTTTCAGATTGTCCATCATGTACTAGGCTGATGACGGTGCCAGTGTACATACGCAACAAAGTGACAGGGAAATTGGAAAATCTAACAGCTTTACTTGACTCCGCTTCGGACTCCTCTTTCATCACAATAGAGGTAACCAAGAAACTTAATTTGTCAATTCTTTCCGAACAAACCATAGTTGTCTCCACGTTTGGGGGTCACGCAGAACGAAAAAGCACAAAGATCGTGAGCACAACGCTCATCAACCATTATGGAGACACCTTGAATGTCTCTTTATTAACGCAGGATCAAATCACAGATCGACTCAACTTTTGCGACCTCACTATGGAAGATCTCGCTTACATACGAAGACAATTACCGATTGACAACGCAAGGCTCAACAGTAACAATACATCACAACCGAGCATTTTGCTTGGTATAGATTACTTCAATGATATATTCATTGCCGACCAGCAACCAATAAGGCTTCCTTCAGGTCTCTACTTGAACCTGACGTTCTTTGGATACACAATCTCAGGAAAGCACTCACATGCAAAGCCTGACACATACAAGGAACAACATGCGCTTTTCACTCAAATGGAAGATAAACTCGATTACTCCAATCTGTATAGTTTGGAGAGTATGGGAATTACCAATTCTCTATCGGAACAAGAAGAAACTGAAAAAATAATCGAGAATTTTTACAAAACTATAGAAATTCACGATAAAAGGATATACGTCCGCCTGCCATGGAAAGCAACTAAAGATAAGTTGGCGAACGACTACAAACTTGCACTGAGTAGGCTACATCAACAATACAAGTTAGCCCATCGAAATCCAAAACTTTGGGGAGAATATTGCAAGATAATCCGTGACCAATTGAATAATGGTATCATAGAAAGAGTGAAGAAAGGAGATCCCTGTACAAGCCCAACATACTATATTCCGCACCAAGCGGTACTAAAACCTAGTAGTCACACAACTAAAGTTAGAATAGTTTTGGACGCATCATCCAAATGCAAAGGCCAATTAAGCCTCAATGATGTGGTACATCAAGGACCACTTCTTTTACCCAACTTAACCGGAATTATACTTCGGGCAAGGGTGGGCAACAAAATTCTCATAGCAGATGTAGAGAAAGCTTTCCACACCATTTACCTCAATAAGCTCGATCGAGACGCGGTAAGGTTCCTTTGGCTGACTGACACAACACAGCCTCCTACACCGGACAACATCGAAATTATGAGGTTTAGAAGGCTAGCATTCGGAATCAATGCTTCACCATTTCTGCTTGCAATGTCTATCCGTTACTCACTCGAACACAGCAAAGACACCGAAGTCTCAACAGAACTAGTGCGCAACCTGTATGTAGACAATGTCCTCCTGACCGCGGAAAAGCCACAGGAGCTTATCAACAAGTACAAGTTGAGCAAGAAGTTGTTTCAAGATATGGCAATGAATTTGAGAGAATATATGACCAACGACGAAGACCAAAGACACACGACGCGACCTTCATTGCCTAGGAAGGCGAAAGAAAATGTGCATTATGTATACAACACGAAAGGTGGAGGTGTTGGGAGTCCGTTCAAGGTCAAATGGTACGCATGGATTTATGCGATGACATTACTCCTTTTCTTCCCTCACCAAAACAAAGCACAAAAAGCAACCGTTGCACCGATTAAAACAGAATGCATTCGTGGTGGAGTGAATATACATGGAGTAGGAACAACACAGAGAATACAAATATGCGGCGAACATCACTGTGTAGAACTAAATAATCCAAAAGACAATGTGACAATCCAGTTTCCACCAGAGGTAATATTACACCGGCACAATGTTCTAATCAAAACTTTAATAGCAGATACAACCCAAGCATTTCAATTCACATGTCCCCCAAGCCCATTCTGCGAACAAATAAATTGCACATTTTGCAATGTCATGATTAGTAACCCTCATTGCTGGCCAAAAACCACAATACTGGTCATTGCAATATTCACTTATTCAACATTGATGACCATAACTCTATCTCTCTTCTGCATCAACAAAACACGACGTTGCTTTTGCACATGTGTTTACAATGTTGGCAGTTTCTTACTGCGCCTCATACAAGCATGTTACAAGAATAGGAGGAACGACCAATCAAACAATGAAACTATTCCACTAGTAGAAGTGCGTGCGCATGCAAAAGAAAAATGGAAGCCATCAGTCTTAGTTAAAATCCTCGCCATAGTAATGATATCCACTAACACAGCAACAGTGAGAGTGTCTGCGTGTCAGCAAACAATCGTACTTCAATCGGACATAACACAATGTGACTCAACAGACACTTGCACCAAAAAGCATGCGTTACTATTGAAGATAAATTCACTGCAACCAGAAGCTTGTTTCCACGTTCAACAACAAAACGTCACGATATCACAAACAAAATTTCTTTTGAAAGAGGTCATTTTAAGGTGCAATAAAGAGACCCTCTACTACACTCGCAATACAGAAACTCGAGTACAATATAGCAAGCGTTGCCCACATATGGGTTCATGTTCGGGATCAAAATGTGCCAAAGTCACCCCAGATTCAAAAATAGAGGAACTCGCAATGTCAAACAATTACACCGGAATAACGTACTGCACAGAATCCTGTGGAGGACTGGGATGCTCTTGTGGATTCCCGTCCTCAGGGTGCCTTTTTTATAGAATTTACCATGTGCCAACAGACAAAGAACTGTACGAAGTGTTTCACTGCCCTACTTGGTCAATAAAAGTGGCACTTTCAGTTGCTCAAGCTAAATTCCGTCAGAAGCCAAAAACTTACACTATGGAATTCGAACAAAATGTTCGCAAGAATTTCAACGGCATGAGCATAAAGATAACATCAATACAAATACCGACAATGCCGCTTCTAGGAGACACGTTTATTGGTAACTCAAAGGTGACAGCACGATTAAAACAACAACACACTTTTAGCTACGCCTGCGTCAATGCGAAAAATGATTCATCGCTACAAAGGGAAAAGGAATGCACTATCCGCGACACCTGCTCTTGCAACCCTGCGGAAAATAGCGTAAACTGTTTCTGCACACATAACAACCTATCTCAAGCTTTAGAACTGAGTCAAATTCTACCAATTAGAATGCCAAACGCACTCATAAATGTCGAAAGCACAGTTAATAGAGTAACAATACGAACATTAGAGGCGAGTACGGAGGTTGCTTTGCTAGTCAACGCGAGTAATTCCGACATCCGTTTCATCTACGCCCAATTTCAATGTCGCATACCAAGCGCAACAATAGAAGGATGTTATAACTGCTTGAAAGGTGCAGTGACTTATCTGTCATGCTTCTCTAACATCTTTCATGCTGTAGCAGAAATAAACTGCCAATCACAATCATTCACAATTACTTGTACACCAACAGGATACACGAACGAGATACACTTTTACGCTAACAAGGCCGTCTTCAATGAAACATGTCGAGCAAACTGCGGCACAAATCAGCAAATATTCTGGATAACAGGACAATTACACTTCATAAAAAGTATGTTTCCATTTTATGATATCAAAACACTACAATATAACACCAAAACAAACTCGCCCGACACTTTCAAATTAGAATTACCAGACATACCCGAGTTCTTCTCAATAATGAGACAATACATCATATATTCAACATGCGTATTTCTTACGCTTATCACCATGCTGATCGCAACAGCCACGGTATGTCGAGAAAGGCAACACAGCTCAAGCCGAAGAGCTTATCGCCGTAATATCTATCAAAATATCTTACAATATGCAATGCCTCTGCCTTTCAAGCTTCCATTTCTTTTACTTCGACTTCTCATGCGCACGATCCGTCTAATTTTGCGCACACCCTTCCTTTGCGTTTATAGTCTTTATAAGCTGTTCATACGCACTTCACACATGTAGTGCCGTAGTATTCTACGCAAATCAAAGTCATTTTCAACTCTCAAAATTCCAAATTTCAGATATGTCGGAAGAGCATAGTCCAAGTCCAAAATGGCAAGATATTGAGATGCAAGATAACGAGTGCGGTAATGAGGGAGAAGATTCGAAAGAACCGAAAGAAGAAAGGCCAAGCAGCCATGAGCGGGCATATTCACCGGAGATCAGCCCCGGCGAATTGCGCGCAATGATGTCAGCAATTCAACACGATATCAAAGAACTGAGAAGAGAAATGAAGCTGCACAGGGTAAGCATAACAATTAAGCATTACGAAATAAAAGACTAAAGCAAACTTTTGAAGCTGCAGCGAAAACGGAAACATACATTTGAACATGAAGAACAAAAACAAAAAATAAAAAAGGTAATCAATTTAAACAACAAAGAACAAAAATCAACGTCAATTTCAGGGCGCCGTGGAAAGCCTAGTCGACCATATGGAAGACTGCGTCCTCGGAATCCACGACATGCCAGAAGCAGCTCAAAGGTCTGCGGCCGTCCAGTGCGATCGTCCAACATCGTCGGCGCTACCACCACTACCACAACAACAACAACGTCCACAGATCCAGCAAAACGACACGCAGGCAATTTATCCGCAAATACCACCATCTAATTGCATTTTTTGCGGGACTCGCCACTGGTCGACTGATTGTACTATCTATTCTACCTTAACCGAGCGTAGGCAGCGCATCGCTCAACTCAATAGATGCGAGCGCTGCCTAGGCCCGGCCACACATATGGCCACTTCATGTCAACCAAAAAACACCTGTTTTTTCTGTAAGAAAGCAATGCGACTGTCAGAAATGACGAGACATCACTCCGTCTTCTGTCAGTACCAATTCAATATGTAAGAGGAAAAACAAAGCAAAACAGCAAACAAGCGTTGAAGACATAGCATTTCCTTTTTAGCAATCGACTTATTTTCAACAATCACTTTACAAACTTACTCACAAGCCCACGCGCGATATCGACGTGCAAACCGCAAAACCTCAAAAGGAAATATCGCAAAACGCACACCGCAAAACCGCAAAAAGGAATATCGCAAAAAACCGCAAAAAGGAATACCGCAAAACTGCAAAACCTCAAAAAGCAATATCGCAAAACGCAAACTGCAAAATCCTCAAAACGGAAATGAGGAACAGTTCAAACCGCATTAACAGCAAAAACGAAAAGTGGCAGAATTTTGAGAAGAGATTTGAAAAAAAAAAGTTCCATTCAGACCACAGGCAATTAACGCAAAAAATGCTTCTTATGATTATTTTGTGATTGTCCATCGGCATATTCGTTATGTAATTTTCCAATAAACGCATACTTTCAACTCTTTCAATTTACATAAAAGGGGTTTCTTTTTACACTCAACAGATGTTTTCAAACTTAAATAAAAACAGATAAAAAAAAACAACAACAATCAATAATTAGAAAAAGTTTAAAAAAAATCATAAATAGCTCGCAAGTCACGAGTAGTGACTCCGGCCTCTTCGTCTTAACAGATTCTGTTCAGCCAAGGGTCGCAAGTTCGGCCATATTTCAGAGCTTTAGCCTTTGGAACGTCATCTTTCGGTCGCCGGAGTGTCGTGATTCTCACGATGTAAGGAAGGCGGGCCCCGCTGACGGTATAAAAGGAAGAAAAGCGGACGAGGGAGAAACTCGTGAGATATCCAATGCTTTCAATGAACTTTTACACTTGGTCAATAAACTTCAATCAATAAATGTTAGAACCCGGTTGTTGTTGGCCAAGACAACAGAATTTCTGCCTCAACAGAGACAAACTTCACAGATTTATGTGAGTTAATGTAGTAATCCAATAGTTTCTCGATATGCGCTTCCGCTTTCCTAACCTTGCAGGATCTCCCATTCCCGCAGTAGCTGATCAACTCGGATTCTAAGCACAGAACTGTAAACACACGAGCTTCCCACATAATCTAGACAACTGCATAGTCTCGTAATTAATGCCTATAGTTTTATTGTACAATCCTTTTCAAACAAATGGGCTTACCGCAACAGAAGAAATTTGAAAGAAACTTTTACCACTGTTCCTTTATTCAGAGCATACAAATTATATAAACATAATTGGTCGTTTTGGAACTCATATGATATACAGAGTGTCCCAAAAAGATGTGCACACTGTTTGATCGCTAATAACTCCCTTGCTTTCATGTCTTTTGCCGAGCCTGAGGTACCATTCTATAGAGCGAGGATAAACTTAGATTTACAGGATGGAGCGAGTCACCAATCGCTCTCCATTACTGTGGGATTACGGTATGAACTTTCAGCATACAGCGGCACCGTGGATTAGGTCTTTTGACGAAATAATTTCAAAAAAATCTGAAAATTTGTGCGGCAGGGTTTTCCGGCGTGCTGATTTCACTACATAACTTTCCACCAGTTTTTCGAGCTTTCTTGATGGCGTATTCACATTTTTGACGAACACTAGAAAATCAGTTGTCACCCTAGATCTGAAATAACTCATGAATAAAACACTGTACTGACGTGCAATTTTCATATTTAGAATCAGCGACCTCGATTAATCCATTTCAAGGTTTTCTGGCTTGTTTGGATTCTTTCTGAGGTGAAATACCGCTTTCAATGGTTTAAAATCCTCCTCGAAGTTCCTACCGTAATCCTACAGTAATGAAGCGCTGCTGATAAGTCGCTCCATACTGTATATCTAAGTTGAACCTCGCTCTGAAGAATGGTACCTCAAGCTCGGCAAAAAACATGAAAGCAAGAGAGTTATTAACAATCAAACAGTGTGCACATCTTTTTGGGACACCCTGTATATAGCTGATTGATATGTCAAGTCTAACGAGTAAACTATTCTTAGGACTTGATCCTCTACCCTGTGACCTTGCTTCTTGACAGAACGTTCTTGACTAGATTAGTTTACGATCATAACATATCTGTAAAAATGGAGACAGAAAGGGTAGGACCGCCGGTCAATCGGTGGCACAGCTCATACTCAGACATTCGCAGTTAAGTCCCGCCGGTGAAGAAGTTGTGTCCCGCCGGAATGACTGCGGGACACAAGTAAAATGGTTCGCGAGAAAACCGGGATTCCCGGTTTTCGTTTGGGCTAATGCGGCGCGACACGCGATTTCGTCCCGACATGTTTTCTACTGAGAAAACCGGGAGCTCCTGCGGGAGTCCTGATAATGTCGCGATTCGGCCACCGGCGGGACTCCCGCTCTAGACTGCAGTCTCCTGCGGGAGACGCGATATAGCAGCGATCCGATCAGCTTCCGGCTGGGCTTTTTCTAAAATTGGTTCTCCTTCAAAAATTTGTACTACGCACATCTTACAAAGGTGCTGTGCTCGACACAGAGTTCAGATACACTCTTTATTAGCATTCGTGACAGAAAAAGAACATTGAAATCTCTATAACTAGGTTAACAGAAAAAAACAGGAATGTCGAGCTCATTGTGTGAGATTGAATCCACAATTCAAATAGACTTCATATTTTCGATCTCTTCGTCTTACTCATGCTCCGACTCATTAGGCTGCTCGTGCGCCAAAGAATCTTGCGTGGTAGTAGGGCAAAAACGCTTTTTCTGAAAAAAAAATAACAATCTAACACTAATTTGAAAAATCATAAATGAATATTACCGAGTGTGGCGACAGCATCTCCTTATCAGCATCAAAATGGTAGGCGAGTATCATATTTAGTGACTCATTATCGCGTTAATCGCAGCTAGAAGCTCATATTTAACTTGGAATTATGCAAGAGCGCCGTACATGATCCACATATAATTAATTCAGAATACCTACTTTCACGACCTTCAACCCAACGTCCGTCAGCTCGATCCATAGCATACTTGGCATCACGACGGCTGAAAATAACGTTAGAGGTATCTTATCAGAAGTTGCGAACACAACCACCTCCGACGACGGCAAGAGCGCAAATGGAAAAATTGCTGCGGAAGCGGTGCTGCTGCGGTGCAACATGTTACAACACGTTGACGTGGCTAAGATGTTCTGTCAACATGTTGTGGCATGTTGCAAACATGTTTTTGCCGCGTTGCCAACATGTTACCACAAATGGCTGGTAAAGGATATTCGTTGACGACAGCCCCGTTTCGTGCATTTACACCATCGAGAGCGCGCCTTTTTGAAGCCTTTCCAGCTTTACAGTAGGTTGCAGCTCGCGGGGTATTCGCAGCCCACAGCATGCCCGTCCTTTAACCTCTTTTTGTTGTTTGAGTATTTCACATCGTTTTTCTCCTTAATTTTCATTTTAGGCAGTTACACATTCTCATGAACGCAAAAACCATTGCTCCGGAGAGAATCGGAAGGAATAATGAGTTTTCTTCAAAGTTGCAATGGCGGATATCGTGGCTATGATTGGGAGCGCAATGTTTTCTTCAGTGTTGCATAATGGTTTGCCTTTTGTTCTTGAGAGAGACTGCTGAAATGACTGTTTCAGCACTTCTACATCAAGGAGACATGTAGGTCTGCTAAAATAAACATTTCAGTGGTCTCATTTGAGGAGAAGGCATGATAGCCATCACCGCTCACGAAAAAAGCACATTCTTTCCCCTAACTATGCTGGAACATAGTTTACGATTCTGAAAATGTTTGTATGGCATGTAAAAAGGAGCAAAAATAAGGAAATGAGGAATGAGAAAATCAATAACTGTACCAAAATTTTTTCTCCTGCTCTTTCAGTATCCATCAAAGCAACTTGTAGGATGCTCGACCGAGACAACTTCAAAGAAAAGGAGAATGAGTATCTGATGAGCAAGTGCCTGAACTGAAGATTAAAAAGGAAAAAAGATAAGAAAAGATGAGAAATGCGGAAGAGGTTAAAGGACAGGGATGCTGCGAGCTGCTTTTCCCTGTGCGCTGTAGCGTACTGTAAAGCTGGAAAAAACGCGCCCGTTGTGGTGTAAATGCACAAAACGGGGCTGTCGTCAACGAATGTCCTTTATGGGAGCACATCAAGGGGGTAGCAGCATTTGTGGAGGGCACGATATACCTGGATATGGACCATACAAGTCAGTCAAGGAGTAAAAAGATGTGATATCGAAAACAGCCTGTGTGGAAGTAGGAATGAATCGATACTGACGCGCAATAGCGTTAAAATCGATGATCACGACTCCCGGTAATCTTCCGTCACTTTTTAACTGTCGGGATAATCCCGAAAGACGGGGCAAAACCGGGAGTCGCGCAAGACTCCCGATTTTCTCGCGAATTCTCATTTTGTGGGCGGATCTCCGGCGGGATTTAACTGCGAATGTCTGAGATATGGAGTTGTAACGCCCACGCGGCGACTGTCACGATGTCTAGCAGAGTCGCGTCTGACAGGTGTTTGAAGGGTTAGTAAGTCAATATGAAGGATTTTGAAGGGTTATAAAGCCAATATGAAGGATACAATATGATGGGTGCATGCAAAAATCCTGGGCAGCTTCAAGGTGGCTCGTTGGGTTAACGAAGACAGCTATCAATCAATATTATCATGAGCGTACATGATAACTGTGGATTCTCAATGAGATCTCGAGCACAGAATGATGGCAGTCTTGCAGCAAAATAAAAGTAGCTCAAAAATACTGATGACTCATCGTAAAGAGAGCTGGGTTGGTGGTGGGAGGTCGGCGCCATGTCAGGATAAAAGTTTGCAAGTCCTTTACCTGATGTGTAGCGGGTTTAATAAGCCTTACTTTGATATTTATTATACAAAATATATACAGAAGAGGAAAGGGAAAGGGTTGTTTCAGACTGCCGCACTGACTGCAGCAGACTGCAGCAGACTGCAGCTGACTGCATTGACTGCAGCAGACTGCTGCAGTCAGTGCGGCAGTATGAAAGAACCCAAAGGAGGAAGAGGGCACCGGCTCCTGCTGGCGGGCGGAGGTCACTGCACATCCCGAAGCAGCGTAGTGGTATTTGCGATTGAATATACCTGACCACCGCTCCATTTCGGTTCCGGTTGACCACGGCTTGGATCCTGCAATATTTACTACTGTCTCAGTCGACACAGTCACAAACAACTCTAGTAAAGAGTATTAGAAACTTGAGCTGGGGAAAATGCCCGCAAAATAAACCAAGAAACTCAAAATGAACTAACAATAAGTAAGCAGAGATTTGACTGGGCAACATAAGAACTGGGGTTCTATAGCCAAAAAGTTGCAAAAAACATACTAGAACATCTTCTCGTTGTTTGTTTGAACGTAGTCCAAGACTGGTATAGATCTACCCTAAAATCCGTACAATAAGTCCGGACTTATCTGCAGTTTCGCCGCGAAAAATCGATGAAAAAACGCCCTCTGCGCCGCCAAAAGTCTACCAGATAAGTCCTCCTAAATCCACTATCAGATAAGTCCGCCTGTCCTGAGCATGAGCAAGCACGACCTGGGAGCACAGACGCGCGCGACCGCCCGCGTGGCTTGCCAGTGTAGATTTGAACGAGGCCGCGATATCGCCTGAAAGAAGGAGTCCAAGGATTCGACAAGTCGTACAGTCTACTTGCTGGCAGTATCGTCGCGGATTCATCATTGCATAAGCTGGATAGGTGAGTTCTTCTCTTTAATGTGACATTTCTTTTGTATTGAAGTTGATAACACGATGGTAAGGTCGGATTTCACCCCACTGCCAGCAAATACTAGGCAGGATTTTTGATATAGGCTAACTACAGTACATGCATCTCCTACAAAACCTTTTTAGAACGTTGATCATCGCGCATTTTGTTCCAAGCAGTGATTGATGAAGTACAAAGACGCAAACGATTCGTAGTTTTGCAAAAGGCTACAGAGAAGTTGTTTTGGATATCACACATGTTTCAGTGCTTCAAACCAAGCCGTGAAAGCGCCTGAAAAGAACCGTCCGAGGACTTGAAGAGCAGTGAAAGCTACTTGCTGAGATTACAGCCGCGGTTTCGTCATCGCGTACCTGGATAGGTGAGTCTTTTCCTATATATGACACTTGTACGAAATTAAGCGATTTCTGCCGATGAAAAGAATCATAATAGGTTTCATCATTGTATCATTGCAATCATCTCATCTTATTATTCATCTTATCGTTTTGGAGGCGACAATGTTTTCAATACATCTCTCGAACCTGTAAGGCTACAACCCTTGAACCTGACTTTTTGCTTCCTCTATTGTTTTCATGGTCTGAACGTAGTCTCTGTTGACCCACGCCATACGGCTTTTGTCAAATGCTTTAATGAACGGAAGAGTGGCAGTCTAAAAACGCTTAACCCTAGCAAAGCATCAGGCTTCTTTGTTCTTTTTCTCAATTGTTGTTTCATTGAGCCTGTACATAAGACAAAAGACAGCGTAGTCAAATTTGATGCCGCCTGCTTTTTCTTGTAAAAGAGTAAACCCTTCGATGATCAGCTCAAATTTATAGGACTCCGCGTGATTCCAGTGCGCAATGACCGCTAACTCAGCGAAGTTCGCAATCACGCAGAACCCATATTTCCGTCATAGTCTCACACTGTGACTCAAGCTGTTCAGGTGTTTCGGATCGCAATGGTTACCAGAAGGAAGTCCACGCTTTTCAAGCTTAACGCGGTGGAATATGCCTTGGAACATGGGACATCGGCTACAGCTGCTTATTGCGAAGTCTCTGCACGTCTGATTCGAAGATGGAAGGCCGATAAGGAGAATTTGAAGGATATGCCACTGAGGAAACGCGACAACCGTTATGGGAAGCAAAAGGTAGAGGAGATCGAGGAAGCTGTCTATGCATGGATTGTGCAGAGGATCTTTTCCGAAGCTCCGCCCCGGACTTCGCAAAAACGATATCTCCTTCGCTTTTTGTTGCAAAAACGAGGTTCAGACTGCTTTCATTCATCTGTGCCGGGCCCTGATTCAAGTGCTTAGGCGCACAGCCTTTCTAAGCTTATGCGGATATATCAAATCTTGCTTGCAGAAAATGCGCCTGTAGGAATCACTCGTTGCGCGGCGATCAAAATTGTACGAGGCATGAACCATGTCTAAGGGATTCATAGATAAATAAGCGAACAGACAATTGCGAACTGAAAGACAAAAAGCGTGATCGCAGTTACAATCAGATCTATTATCTGTGGCTATTCTCATCGTTTTACTTCTGCATGTATGTAGAGTAAGACAGTGGTCTAATACAAAAAAAAAACAGTAAGATAAAATTGACAGTGTTTTTCAGAGCCAGCTTCAACATTGGAAGTTAAACCACGGTAAAAGGGAAAGTAAATGAAAAGCATGTTGCAATCTTCTTTATCTGCGACATAACTTCTTCACAACTTCCTCCACTACGTTGTACAACATTTCCTTGTAGTAAAACCCGTTATTCAGCACAGTCATATTTTCGACTTGCATCCGTTCCTGCACCTGCAATCCACACAATTAGTAATTTTAAACTTTCCACTGTCCACGGTACCTGCATTGGATTCCTCCTCCGCGCTGCTGCATTACCTCCTGCGAGTAGCAGAAAGTTAGTTCTTCACCTGAAAAGCAAAAAGTCTGCCACCCTAACTGGACATTATGTCCATATGATTTACCTATGTGAACGACCCTAGTAGTGAAGAAAGCAAGGTCGTGCATGACCAAATTTCCACGAGTATAGAGCACTTTGGCTACTAATGTAGGATTCATGCAAGAGTGATTGAAAAACCTGGAATGATAACCAGCTCGTAAGATCGACTAAAAAATCTATAAAGTGTAAATTGTGATAAAGTCATTCAAAGAGGTTTTGCTTTATATCATGTACTAGCTGGCTTACCCGGCTTCGCCCGGCCCTGTCAAAACACTATAAAAAGCTCTCATCCCTATCCCAGTACAACCTTTCCCTGTGCCCACTTCGACATGCAATTCCCTATTTCCGCTGTGTTAGTAATCAGTATGCCCACCTAACTTCCTCACTACCTCCATCTCCGTAGCTCAAACTTTGCAAAAAATCAATAAATTCGATAAAAGTAAGCGTAATTCTAAAAATTGATGGCACTATTTGGCTATCCGGCCCCCAAAATGTTTTTGTGACCGATCTTGCTCAAACTCGGTATATGGGGGTTATTTAAGCCGCAGATGACAAATATAATAGTCATCGCGCAGCGGGTAAAAATCATAAACCTGCCTGAAACCTTGGCAGGGAATTACCTAAAGTGCTGTTTCAAGAATATCGTGCTCAATTCCCACGATAAAGGCAATTTGTGTGGTATAAAAGTTTCCCACGACCGTAGTGCTTTCCTTATAGGACCAATGTCGCGCGCGATACACCCTTCGGCGGCTTTTGCCTAAGCAAAAACAGGGGAGGGAGATTTGCCGCATGCGTTACGCGTTGGGACAGGTCATCAGGATGGCGCTGGAGACCGCCATGCAAAACGCCGTTTCCCCATTTCGTGAATATCTTGCATCTAAATTGCCTCAAAAGTGAAAAAATGTCCATTAAAACCATGCAACTCGCCTAACTTCACAATAATGCGTTACGACAGCGAGCAAGCATCATACTCATAACCAGTATGCTTGTGAACCGTTACAGATAAGGTTTTGAGCAAATCTGGAACTTCGACCCATCTACTGTACAACCCCGTGACCCAAGAAAATCGCTATTTTGCGAAATCAGCATGATGTTCATGTTCAGAGCGCTATATGACCACCCTAGACGAAGTTTAAAGCAAATCTATGTTTTCGATCCCGCACCGTATAACCAACATAACTCTATGTAAAAGTCACAAGCAGAGAAAGAGTATGAAATTCGTAATCAGCATGTCGAATAAGTTCTCTGGACCGAACTCCAGCCGATTTCATGTTTTTGACTTCCTACCGTACACCTACCGTAACCACACCGGGAGACGTTCTGCGGAGAAAATGTGATCTGTAATCAGCATGTAAGATAACCCTTATACACGAAGTATGAGCAAGCTCTATGACAAAAAAATTTTGGGGCCCGGATAGCCGAATAGCGCCAAACTAATAATGTACTCGTAATCAGCATGCTCGATTACCCCCTGTGCCAACTACCAGCCCTGTAGGTGAACTCTGCAAAAAAATCGATAAAAGTAGTGGACGATTTTAAAAACTAATATTGTATTCGTAATCAGCATGCTCGACTACCCCCTGTGCAAACTCCCACCCCGCATGTCAAACTTTGCAAAAAAATCGATAAAATCGATAAAAGTAATGGATAATGTTGAAACTTAATATTGTATTCGTAATCAGCATGCCAATTACCCCCCTGCGCAAACTCCCAGCCTCGCAGGTCAAACTTTACAAAAAATCGATAAAATCGATAAAACTAATGGATAATTATGAAAACTAATACCGTATTCGTAATCAGCATGCTCGATTACCCCCCTGTGCAAACTCCCAGCCCCATAGGTGAACTCAGCAAAAAAATCGATAAAAATCGATAAAATCGATATCGATCGATGACGAAAAGTAGCCTATGACACCCACCCGGCCCCGAAGTATGTTTGCCAAGTTTGGTCCAGATCGGTTCAGAAATAAAAATTTCTATTCGGAACATACGTACATACATACAGACAGACATACAGACATACAAACAGAAATTCAGCTTTATATATAAGATTGTCACAAACAGCTACTACATTCTTAATCACCATGCTCAGTTACCCCACTGTGCCAACTCCCAGTCCCGTAGCTTGAACTTTGCAAAAAAATCGATAAAATCGATAAAAGTAATGGACGATTTCAAAAACTAATATTGTGTTCGGAATCCCCATGCTCGATTACCCCCTGTGCAAACTCTCAGCCCCGTAGCTCAAACTTTGCAAAAAAATCGATAAAATCGATAAAAGTAATCGATAATCATGAAAACTAATATAGTATTCGGAATCCCCATGCTCGATTACCCCCCCCCCCCCTATGCAAACTCCCAGCCCCGCAAGTCAAACTTTACAAAAAATCGATAAAATCGATATCGATCGATGACGAAAAGTAGCCTATGACACCCACCCGGCCCCGAAGTATGTTTGCCAAGTTTGGTCCGGATCGGTTCAGAAATGGAATTTTCTATTCGGAACATACGTACATACATACAGACATACAGACATACAAACAGACATTCAGCTTTATATATAAGACTAGCGATCCTACGGGTCGCTAGTAGGTGGGTGGGGGCAGATACATTGATTTCTGCCATTAACTAAAAACTTTCAACTAAAAATCCCAAGAAAGAGAATTTCCATCTTTCCAGCGATCTTTCGCGTGTTGTGAGTAGTAGAAACAAAACACTATGCTCTTAGGAAAAGAAGTTACTACTAGTGATTATCCGCAAAGCATCTCTGCTATTCCTCTTGCAGATACCTTCGCCCAGATACCACAGCTCTTAAACAAGGAAGCTACCTTCAAGCACCTGTTTAGAACAGCCGATTCATCCCAAAACTCAGATTGATTTCCAGGAAAGTGACATGTAAAGGAAGCGTCAAATTATGTTTCCAGCAGCCGAAAACTTGAATATGTAGGTAAAAGCGAAGCAGTATTTTCTTCGATGATGTCTTGTCAGTGAACGGACTCATTTCTTGAAACAGACAAAAGCTGGCCCAACGCCTTCTTTTGAAGGACAATCTTACCGAAACTGTCCTGTCGCATAAAACCCTAGGTCTTTCTTTCCCTCGAAACCAAGCTCCTCATGCTTCCGCTTTCAGGGGCAGAAGTATGGTTGAGAAGAAGGGGCCGTAATTTTTCTAGCAAGTTTCTTTATAATTGAATATTGACACCTAAAAATTTTTAGCGCGAATATCTTGCTGTTGCTTTCAAGGACAAAAGTGTGGTTTTAGCGAAGTTCAAACGGCCAAAATTTTCAGAGAAGATAATTTCCTGTCGCAAGAAGCTCATGGGTATGTCTTTCCCTTGGGACCACTTTTCTGCCTTCAGAGGCAGAAGTCTGGTTTTTGCAGAATAGAATGGTTGCAAGTGAATTTCAAACAAGTTTCTGTAGGATAAACATTGACACCCAGAAATTCTCAGCGAAAGTATCTTGCTGACTGAGCTCATGAGTCTCTTCCCATCGAGGCCAAGCTTTCTGTGCTGTTTTGCTTTTAGGGGTAGAAGTACGGGTTTTGCAGAGTAGAATGGCCACGAATTTGAAACAAGTTTCTGTATAATAAAACATCGATACCCAGAAACTTCTGGCGAAATTATCTTGCTGCCTGAGGCCATAATTCTTTCTTCTCTCGAGACCACGCTCCTTGTGCTTTTTTGCTTTTAGGGCCAGAAGTGTGGTTTTTGAGTTTTGTGGTTTTTGCGAAGTTTTGGAGTCCAACGTCTTAGCGAAAATGTCCTGTCGGATGAAACTCATGGGCTGTCCTTCCCTAGAGACTGAATTCCCTGTGCTTTTCTGCTTTTAGGGGCAGAAGTACTGGTTTTTGCGAAGTCTAGGGGTCAAACGCCTTGGCGAAAATGTTTGTGGCATGAAGCTCATGGTTCTGTCTTTTCCTCGAAACCAAGCTATCTGTGCTGTTTCGCTTTTAGAGGAAGAAGTGTGGTTTTTGCAAAGAAGAATGGCCAGAAGTAAATTTTGAGCAAGTTTTTGTATAATCATTGACTCCCAGAAACTTCTGGCGAAAATATCTTGCTGCCTGAAGCCATGATTCTTTCTTCCCTCAAGACCAAGCACCCTGTGCTTTTCTGCTTTCAGGGCAGAAGTACTGGTTTTTGCGAAGTCTAGGGGTTAAACATCTTAGCGAAAATGTCTTCTCCGATGAAGCTCATGGGTCTGCACCTCTCTCGAGAGCACTTTGTGCTTTTTTACGGGGGGCGGAAGTTTCTCACCCGAGCCATATTCTCGCACCTAAGTGATGTGCCTGCCAGGCACATCCGAGCTCGCTACAGTTACGAGCTCCTCAGGAGACCAAGACATCGCAAGCCCCGCCCCCTCATTTAGTGTTCGCTCCAGATGATGAAACCGGAATTCCAAAGAAACTTTCAAAATCGAAGTTCAGAAGAATTTGCTCCAATCAAGACCAAATTTTGGATCTAGGGGTTTTTGAGGTTGCTCTTTTCAGTAGTGTAATTTGTTGTTGCAATGTCGACATTCAGCGCCGATGATGCTCAATAAACATTAAAATTGAAGAAACTGGCTACGAGTCATATTCTTGGAGCTAAATTGGGGGAAAAAACCAATGCAAGAATACAACCATTTTTTCGAGAACTCGGAAACCTGAATTTTGGACTTCTTTGGAAAAAGTACACCACGGAAACACGTAAGTCGAATTTAATTTGTATTCAGGACTAAATTTCATTTAAATTTGTGCTTAAACATTTTTTTCCAATGATCCACTCATAAAATAGTTCTGGGTTGGAAGGCTGTTGTGAAAGCAGTAATTTTTTCAAAAAATTTTGATAATTTTCGAAAATCATGACTTATAATAAGCGGCTTAATCTAAAGTTGTGTGAAGTTTGTCCGTTACGAAATTACAGTGAGGAATGATTTATGATACTAAACATCATGTGAGGTTAAGATAGCGAGTATGGTTCATTTTTAACTACGGCTCACTTTGCAATAAACCGAACAATGATTTGAGAGACAAGCTCTCAGAAAGTGAGTTTAGCACGGTTCACGATGCCAGTGCGAACCTCTGCGAAGCAGAGGTGAAGCACTGGTGAATAAATAAACAACAAAATACCAAATTTTTGCAATAAACCATTTTTCGG